AGTTTCCACTACACCCCCCCCCCCCCCCCCCCCTCAGGTAACCACGTGCTTTTAATTTTTAACGGCTCAAAATGACAAAACCAATTTCTGATATATTTATTTTAATGTCGTTGAAAAATTGATTACATTTTTTGAAGCAATTAGTGCTAACTAAAAGCGTGCAGATGAAGAAAATACCGAATTTTCTATTATCGAAGAAAAGTTCATTTGAATTTAAAAATCCGTTAATTTTTGACAGTTTAAATTATTAAATTGAATGAATCTTGTCAAACTTTAGTTAAACATACCAAGAATTATGTTTTTTCAAGATCCACTCAGCATGTCTTTAATAATAATTAAAGGAACTGATTTAAAAATGTGAACTGCAAAAATACTTGAAAATTTTTTTTTGAATTAACACAAAAAAGCTGTGAGTTCAAAAAAATTTTGACAGTTTGTATTAATTTTTTTGTTTTATTGAACTTACATTATGATCAGGAACTTGCAGGAAGCCTATAATATGAACAACTTTCCATTTTGTTGAAGAAAGCTTTTTTGAAATCAAATAAATTAAAGTAAAATTATTAAAACTTTGCATTTAAATTTTCCGTTATAAAATAATTTAAAAGAATCAATAATTATCAGTAACAGCTAAGTTATTCAAACCGAGGACCTCCTGCATTGGGAACATCACGTAAACAAACACTTTTCAATATTTATTTTTAAGAATTCAATTAAAATGGATTAGAAAGAAAAATTTTAAAGTAGTAATCTTTCAATCAACTTCAATTTCAAAAAGTATCCCAATATAGAAAAGTGAAATTAAATTAATTCTACAATAAATTTTGTGTATTTTGAGTTATTGATTTTTATTAATGAAAGTTTTAGAATTAGAAATATAAAAGTGGAGAGTTAAGTTACTTATTGTGCAATAATTAATGCATCACATTAAATACAGTAGAATTTACTTTGTGTCAAGAAGTGAACATTGAAAATATTGATCTCAAAAATCATCACAAGGTAAGCAACAACAAAGAACTTTTATGCTTTCATTCACCACTTTCACTCAAGGTCATTTATATTTTACAATCCTTTGTATATCGTCCTCGTATTACTTTGTTATCGCTAGACTTTTTTTAACTGGATGTGTCAAGTTTATGCTCGTTGATCTTTATGATAGTGTGCTAGGTCACGTGATGACAATGATAGTTTTTAAATTTTAAAAGTTTTTTTTTGCCCTAAACTCTGGTCACTCAATTCCAATATACTGCATTGTGCTGCATAAGTTATTCCAACTTTTTCCCATAAGAGAAAATTTGCCTAATTGACTTTTTTCGTGAGTCGATAACATTATTCACAACTTCAACAGAATAATTTACATTTTTAATTTATTTAACCATAGTTTTATGAGCTGATATGTGTATAAATTTGAATAATGCATGAATCAGTAAAATACCTTTATTGTTGTGGCAAAACTTGATGATTAACATGTTAAGAGTATCAAATAATGTCGTTCTCACCAAAATATCTCAATTTTCAATCCATTTTTTTCCACAGACTAATCAAAATTTAAATGACTAAGGGAAACTAGAACGCTTTGACTACCACACAAAATTGATGGCTCGGGAATTCTTGAGGTGAGTCATTTCATGTTCGTTGAACTTTTTTCAAAAACAAAAAAAAATGTGCAAGTCTTTCAAATTTCGTTGAACTGCACAGAGCAATCAAGCTAAAAAGCTGTTTTCTTTATTTGTAATGAAAGACTAAAGGGATCATATAGCACAAAGAATATAAATCATCACATAAGTCACGTTATTATATTTTCTGTTAATACTTATTTCATCGAACATGCTTTTGTCATTACTATTAATTATCATATTGCTAAAAAGTACCCAGTATCAATTTTCACGTTTAAAAAGAAGTCAGGATTAAATATGTACAATTCGATATTTTTAGCTATACCATATGATGATGAAGTGTTTACATTTAGTTGTATCCCAAAGCACACAACATTTTCGTTTTCTTTTTCTATTTTAAAAAAAATGTGTGTATTTATATATTTTTCACCTCTTAACATTTTGGATACAGGCTTGATCAAAAAATTATTATTTTAAACGATTCATCAACTTCTTATCCTTTCATCTCAGTAAGGGGTAAATACACAATAAATAATATTCATAATGCGATGATGACACAAACTATCGATTTATTCTTCACGCACTCATTGTTGTATGTCGTTATCGCACAGCAAGGCAACGAAGAATGGATGAATGTCTATATAATCCGTAAAATTGATGAAGGACTATTGTATTCAGTGTAAATAAATCAGTATAATTGTCTAACTTCTTTTTGGGGAGAATATATTGAAAAATACAAATCAATTCCTTTTTTTCTATGGGATCATTCGGTTCTTACGTCCAAAATTTAGGATTGAAGTTCGAGTTTAGTGATTCTATAATAAATTTCTCTCAAATTTTAATATCAAATCGCAACTCTGATTTGACAACCTTAGTAGGTTTAGGTGATTATCCTATTCAGTTCTTCTCAAAAATACCATTCTTTCTAAGTAGACACATCATTTGCAAATGGCCCCATACAAGATTAAAAATATTAATATTGCCAAATAAATTCGATAAATTTGATATTTATAGTTTCCAGCCTCACGCATGTATTTAAATTTTATCTTTTGCGGAATAAATAATCGCAATTTTTTGGTATAATAGGATGAGAAGTAAGAAATCTGATATGAATAATTTGGTATTATTGTAATGACTAGTTATTAAAATTGTATGTTCTACAGAACAAAGAGCTTGTGAATCATAAACTCAATTTCACTTAATCTGAGCTTCATTATAATCTCAGGATTATAAAAATTCAAGTAATGATGGATTAGCCAAATGTGAAAATTTAATCTCTGACAGATTATCGTGGATTAAATGCACAAAAAAATTTTTATTCACTAGACATCACTTTTTTGACATTTCATTATTGGATCTTGGTGCCACAGAGTTTATGAGATTATTTAAAGCTAACCTTCGATTGCCAAATTCAATTAAAACTGCGGTGTACCAAGGATCAATCAATTAGCTTTGACGATTCTTTTTTTGGATGTTTAGCTTATTTTTAAAACAATTGAACAGCTACGGAAGTCCGTTCATATATGTCTCAATATAGAGACCAGAACCACTGATCTGTTTCAGGGAAACTATTGTAAAACATTTTGGCTTCATCTCTGCCAAAAACACGTCCATTTGTAGCATATGTTAAATGTAATATATTTTCGTCAATTTTCATAACAAGCATATGAATACATTAGCCATTTAATCACTGAAATAATGAACGACTAAATGACTGTTATCAGGAAAAATGCATGGGCGTAGGAAATGCGCTAATACGACAGAGACTAAACACACTCCCAATCTTATTTTCTAATTTTATACAAAATTTTTCAGTTTGGTCAAAGCTTCACAGCTTTATGTTCGTGTTAATTTAATACTGCCAATCTTGAATCTCGTCAAGAGAGGATAAAATCATCATAAATGAGAGAAAATTTATTAATTTCCGACAAATTTTTAACCAAAAAAAAAATATGCAACAGACATGAGGATTAAGATCGACGTAAAACTGATCTTTTCATGAATGAAAAATATTTTTCCTTATTGAGTGGGCAGAATTTTTTTTCATCTCAGGTGTTTATGAGCGCTAGATGAATGTTTCTTACATCCACACGTGTTAGACTTTGTCTCATCGCTCTCTTCTGTAATTAATATGATGTCATGCGGACGAGCAAGCAAGAATAAAAGTTTTGATATCAAACATTTGAGCTCAACATAGCTTTCTTGTTGTCTACAATTTACAATTCTGAATTAGAAAAAAAAATTGCGTACTTGAAAATGTTTCTTTACATGCCTGTATGTGTCTGCGATGATCTCATCGAGATTTATTTTTTTTATAAAGCTTATAGTGATTTTCATTTTTAATTCTCTACGATTTTTACAGGAAGAATTTTTTTTTTCTACTCAAAAAACAATTTAAAAGGGGGGGATTTGAAGGTGTGTCAAACCTTTTTGCAAAAATTTCTAAAACCGAGTTAGAATTTGGTTCAGGAACTAATGTTAATTCTAGTGACTATAAATCAACAGCTAGAGAGACTAAAGTGACACAAGCATTTATGAAAAAGCAGTTAAAAATTTTCATAAAACTCTCGCAAAATAGTAAAACTGTATAATTCGCACTCTACTCTTCCATGTGTGTATACACAATGATATGGAAACTCTCTTACACGCATCGAAATAAAATATATGGAAAAAAAAATTCATAATAACATTTGTGTGCGGAAGAGATATCGTCATCGTGAATACTCTTGTGCAATTCTTATTTTTTAACATACTCGCCGTTCATTCGCTCTGATTGTGTATAGGCAAAACGGTTTCTTTTTTTCATACAATATTTTTCATTTTCTTTGCGAGTTTCATTCTCATATACTATTTTAGTTTCGCTCTGCGCAACAACGTGATCGGTTGTACAATTTCTATCGCTCTCATTAATTTTTTTTTATTATTATTATTCAATAATAAACATTTTTGATTTCCCAAAAAAAAATAATACAGTCGATATAGACATTGATATTTATTTCTATGCTTCCAAAGTGCCTAGCGATAACAATCAATATTATTGTGAAGCATATATACCAAAATAAATTCTCACGACAATAGCTTGTGGTCTTCAATTGTATATTTTGATAAAGAAAAAAAAAGTGTATTTAAAGGAAAATCCTCGACTTATTTTATCGATTAAACAAGTGAACGTGAATCAAAGTTGTTCTTAAGATTTTGCAAAATAAAATAATAAACTGAGCGGAAAGAGCAAAAGAGACAGAACTAGCTGTGAAAAATAGCAAACTATGAGATAAAAAGTATTTTTGTGAATTTTTGTTTGATGAGCAAACAGTTTAAAAAAGAAAAAAAAATATATATCCATTGGGAAAGTGGAAAATATAAACAGATTCAGATTTTTTTTTTGAGGAGGTTTTTTTTTAAAAATACAAATCGTCACCTCAAAAAGAGAGTAAGGAAGTAAGAAAAGACTAAAGATTTAGGAAACTTATTAGTAATAAATCTGAGAGACGTTGAGACGACGTTTGTGAGACGTTGACTAAAAAGAAGAGCAATTAAAAGAACATAAAAGGTTCTCCTCAGAGATACATACACAGCTGTAGTGTGCGGTCTTTCGGACATGATTTTATTACCGGTCTGTTGATCTAATAATTGATTTTTAAATGCTGAGTTAACAGAAAAATAAAAGAAAAATCATAAAAAGAGTCGCTCGAGTGGAAAAAAGAAATTGAAAGCTATAAATAATTATATTAATCTCTTCGGACCATCTTGAGATCATCGACTGTGTGTGAAATTTTCTTTCAAAACAAAAAAGAAGAAGAGAACCTTTTTTTTCTTTATTTTATCGATTCCGCCACATGAGATCATCAATAATATTAATGAAAAATACCTAAAGGAAAGCTGAAAGAAGGAAACGAGAAGATACCTGTTGAAAGATTTCAGTTTGTACATAATTAAAAAGCTTCATATAATAAAAATTAAAAAATTTAACAAAAAAAAGTATGGAGCTGTGAAAGCAATTTATGATGTGCATATAAATGCGATATTGATGTGCTAATTGTGGAAACCTTAAATCACACAACTGTTATCATGGACAACGGCTTTCTTCAACGTCCAACAATGCTCCATTTTGAGCACATCAAGCATAGCCCACAGTGTCATGAGGCATACACTTTTATCAGGTAATAATAAGAAGACATTAAAAATTATTTTTAAAACATAACGTGCTTGTGTCTCTTCGGAGAGGCAATGAGACAGATAATATTGAGTATTTTTTGAGATACTCGTGGAGATGAGATGATTCTTGCCGTTATCAATAACTAGCACCTGTTGATGATGAATCATTATTCCTATATTCCATATGTTCCTTCGATGTGTGTTTTTTGTGTCGTTTTAACAAATTGTATTTTTTGTTGCTTAGCCGTTAGTGTGAATCATTTCTAATTAATACATGTGATATATCTACATCATAAGTTGATGTATAGTCAACAAATAAATTTTCATATTTTTAAATTAACCATCAACATGCAACGTCTATCAGAAATCACACACAAAAACTAACTGGTTAATGTCAATGTGGTCAACATTAGTTGGTTGACAGCGCATCTATTTAAAATTCTCATGTGAAAATAGCGGTTAAAAAAATATTTGAAAAATAAAACTTACAAAATGGCGTATGTTGATCACTTCAAAAAGTAATTTGATTAATTATAGCAAAGGAAGTAAATGAGCTTAAGGATCTTTTGCCAGTTTGATCTATGACCTAGCAGCAATTTACTTACCTCACCTGACAGACTGACAAATGGACTACAAACAACAGTTACCACCTGAAAAAAAAAATCACAAAAAATACATACTAAAGATTTAAAAACCGCACGGCAAGGCTTGTCTATAATTGTGGTCGACTTCTTCTTAACATTGTATACATGTCAGTCAATAATTTTTGCACAAATCACCAGTTCACACATATGACAAGGTTAAGTTCAAGAATTTGTCCTTGCAGCTTGTTTTGGAAACGTGTAGTAACTAAGAAAAGTTGTTATACCATGTTTGTCGCATGCGAGAGGAGAGGACAACAAGAAGATATTGTACACAAAGACTTTATACTTTAACTGATATTTTTTTTCTCCACTTCCGACATTTCCGCATTTCATTCTCAAAGCGAATCTCAAGTATTTTAAATGATTTAGATTTATTTCCATTTGTATGACAGACACGCAGTATTAACAACATTCTCACTTTATTTTCCGCTTTATTGTCATTTGTACTGCACTTTTAAGTCATTATTAATAATAATTTTTTTTTCCCCACTTTCCATATATGCATAATCTCATGCAATTAATTCGCAATATGAACTTGTAACTGACAAAATTAGCAGCCGAGAAAAAAATAAATTTATTTATATAGGTATTGAGGAAGAAAATATTTGATATTTTAAATTTTAACATTCCACGTCGATTCTCTCATATTTCGATTTTTGCATTTAAATAGCTTTTAGACAATTTACATATGAAAAAAAAAATTAAACACGAAATTCCGAAGTAGTGTAAAGCCGACATCGACATCGCTCGACTGTTAAACCGCATTGATTCGCATTACGTCATTTTCACAATATTTATAACTGCTCTGTTGCTTTTTGGTCAGAAGGCTCATTCTATGTTTTATTTTCTTTCATTTTTCTGTGCTATTGAGTTATTATTTTAAGTATGCTGTTCTCCACCTCATTTTAAACAATTTTTATTTATAAATATATAAATTCTACAAACTGAATAGTACATGTCACGAACAATAATAATAGTAATATCTGTCTGTATGAATTTGACACCAGCTAAACTATAATAATAATTACATTACTTTACATCACTCGACTGATGTGTTTACATATAATAATTTTAAATTATAAACAATGTGACGTATTTCATTGAGCCCACAAAGCCGCCTTATGTCCTTTTTTCTTGTAAACAATTGCAAATGAAATATTTTTTTCGCTTTCAAGTTTACCTTAACATTTGCCAAAACGTAAGCAAATCGATCGCATTTTTTCCATCTTGTCATGAATTTTCACATAAACAAAAGAAAAAGAAGAACTAAACAAATAAAGGCAAGTAATATGATTCAAATAAAAGTTCTGCTGCTTACGTCTATCAAAATTTCCGATTAGTAATGCTTAAAAAAGATCGATAAAATATCTCGTTAGCCTTAGAGCTTTTGAACTTAATTGGATATATCTGCATGCAGATCAATATCGTTAACTCAATTAAATTTGTTATTATTCAATCCAGCATTGTATCTTTTTATTGAGCTAGGTGTGTAAATTTTGCACTTATTGTCAGAGTTTTAAGTAAAACCATTTGCTAATGTTTCTCAAAATCATCGGAGCACGATGATGTCATGGGTCATGATTTGAGAAGCACTGACTTTAATCATATTATTATTTTCACTTAGCGTAAGGTTCAAGATCCAGAATTGCTCAAAAACTACTTTTTATTCCATAATGACACTTCTCCATTATTTAATCATTTTTCAAAAGCTTCTTCACAAAAAAAAATCAAACTAATTTGTCAGAATTGAATTTTAATCGAATTATGCTGATTCCATTAACATCACTTAACATTTGGCTCATCGTATTAATTTCATTCAACTTTTTAGTATGTGATGTTATAAAAACTGCATCATGTAAAGCTTTCTTGTGCGAGGTTAGTGATTGATATCCATTAATACAATGTTCATCATCACTATTATGGATTCTGACATTATACAATTAATGTTAACGACTTTTTTGAGATAATGATAATCGGCAGAGAAGAAAAGAAAAACGGTTGAAGATTATTATTTTTAATGAAACCAGTTTAATATGGCAAATTTAATTATCCCATTATATATCTCAAGATCTATATGAAAAAAAAATCTTGTGGTTTGTTAGCAACTGTAGAGTTCATTCCACTGTTTGTGATGCAATGACGTATACTTTTATCATTAGATTAAATGTATATGAATATCGAAACTTAAATGTCTGATGAGGTTAATGAGTATCATAAATCATTTATTCGATGCTATTGTATGAGCTATGTTTTGATTTTGAAGACATCAATGCCTGCAGTGCTTTAAGCTATTATATTCTTGAGATGGTGCTTGGGGGTCGTTCACAAATGATGTCCTTCAGTTTTGTCTTGAAAAAATAAAATTTTTCCTAGAACAGTCTCTGTTTCCCTCTCGTACCTCCTACCTCTCCTATTAGATCATTGTTTGACATCATAAGCGAACGAATCCATATTTAGGTGAGGCAATGATGTATCTATATAAAAAAACTTTGAAGACTAAAAATGATTAAAGCAAAGGTTTTTTTATTTGTTTATAAGAAAAACCATTTTAATTTACAAAAAGAACTAACATTGTGTGAGAATCATTTTTATAAGGAATTGATGGTGTTTCTTTGAAATGACGAATGGATCGTTAGAATCTTTACCAAAATTTATATATTTTTTGAGGAATAGCTGATGATTAGATTTATTCAGAAGAACTTTTTTGGATGCTAATTGAGTTGTGAGTAATGATGAATTAATTCGTATTCGTGAAATTAGTGACTAAAAGGCTTAAAATGCCATAAATTGTAAATAGAAATATACTTACTTTTAAGACTACACATGAATGCTACCTGTGTGAAATTTTGAAATGAGGCAATAAATCACATTTTAAGAGGCATAGAGTAATTCACGATGAGCTTGTCTAAATAAATGTTTAAATTATTTCTATTTTATTTAAACAGTTAACTCTGAATAGCTTAATAGAATGAACGGTAAATGTCGGATATGGATCAAGTTAATCTTTTTTTTTTGTTTCGTCATCATTTTTAATAATGCATTGAACTTTATTCAACGAATAATGAGTACATACTGTGGATGATATCATTCATCTTTTTTTTTCTAGACATATAATTAACGAAAATTGAGCACATTTCAACAGTTGTATAAAGCCCACGTTGAACAGCATTCAAGCATTTTAAGACGGAAAGAAAATGTCTTTTCATGATGTCATGATAACTCCTTGTCATGACTTTTACTCATTAGCTCACGAATTTTTAATCGGTATAAAACATACCGTGATAATTGATTTAGGGGTGGTTATTAAAATGTATGAATAATTTTTGGATTCATGAATTTTAACTTATTGTTAGTGATTCAGTTTATGATCTCATATATCTGAAATTGTGAGAATAATCATCTTTTAAGCTCTATTGTTAAAAGTGTGCAATCAGAGATATTTTACTGAAAAAAATCAATTGATATTAATAAAATAAAATTGTAGCTTCGTGATGCTAAAAATAACGGATTAGTAAGGCAATATATCATATGAATATGGATGATATCATGAGATATGCATTTCCTATTTTTTTGAAAGTATTATACGTATATGCTTGGGATGAATGAAATGATTAGGGATAATAAGTTATGACTTACTATCATTCAGGATCTCTGATAAACCAGCATACTGAAAAAACAATTTAAAACTGATTGCTTACATCTAAGATATAAAACTAGTGTATCGAGTAGAAACCCAATGCGGATTATATTCACTCCGTACTATCATAAGTCTTATGGATAGACCAAGATTTGCCCATCATAAGTATGAAGGTATGAAGCTTGATAAGTCAACTAAGCTTCGCTCAGCATAAGTTTGAAGTTATAAAGCTATCGCGTAAGCTGAGCTATGCTCAGCATAAGTTTGAAGGTATAAAGCTTGACGAATATGCCAAATATTCTTTAAAAGTTTTTTAAAAAAAATTTTCATCCAAAGTTGAATTTTATAAAAATCACAGTCAACTTTTGTTTTAAAAAATTCGTAAGAAAGGAAAGTTTTTTGCCATTTCTGAAGCAACGGCTGTTCCTACCTTGCCCAAAAACAATACAGCTCTTCTATAGAGCAGCACGGATCAAATGTAAAAAACTAGAAGTCTCTACGATGTCTCGTTATTAAGATTTCTTGCTGATTAACTTGCTTGCTTGCTTGCTTGCTTGTTTGCTTACAGAAAGCGTATTTTGCGATTTTCTCAGCAATGCCACAACCAATTTGAAATCTGTTTTTTGAAAATGATGTAAAATTTCAGGCACAAACTTTTCTTCTTGCCCTTTTATAACCAATTTTGCTTTGTTTTCTCACAAAATGCGAAAAACTGATTTTTCAA